TTTTCCAGGTCTATGTCCTCCTGAATACATTGCTACCTAAGCCTGTTGGTGTCCTTTCATTACGGGAGCGCTGCCTTTCATGAAGAATATGAGTGCTCCCCAGCCACCCCCTTTACTATTGTATATGACTTGAGGTCTGGCACTACAGAATCTTCATCTTTTAGAGCCTTGCTGCTCCTTCTGTAGTGATTATTACCTAGCTGTTCATTAAATTTTGTTAAATCGCATGGGAAATAAATGTTCTGAGCTTGCACATTTCTCTGAAATCCCAAAAAGAAATTCAAAAACTTGCAGAAGATTTTTTACAAGAAAGAAATTGCTCATTAGAACATTTTCTTCCTTTATATTCCTTTTCCATAAGAGGAAAAATATGTCCTTTCACATCTCAAATACCTTAAAATTGGTCTGTTAACAAATTATGAACTATAGTATATTCTTCCAGCACAGATTTACATTAATTTTTGTGTTCCTTTAACTAAAATGTTCACAGATTCCTTGTTCTGATCCTTATCACAGCAGATTTCTTTTGATAGTTAAAGAACTCTCAGGGTTTGGAACCTGGGAAAAAAATCCCATTTCTGAAAGGTAGACTAGACCATAAGGTATTAACCTCTGAAAGGTCATGCATCAAAATTCTCTTCAACTTTACTGAAAAGATTAAGTTTGTATAAATTTTTGGTCTTGAAGTCATGTCAGTGGTTTATGGAATCGAGGATGCATTTAATCTTACAGGAAAAATAACAACTTCATGCTAAAATCTATATAGTTGGAATGCTATTTCTTAGTGCTCATAAAACCTGTATTAGAATTCTCTCTTTTTTTTTTTTTATTTTATCCTTGACCTACATGGTTACTCTACATCAACAGCATTAATGTTGTTCCATTATAAATGATTCATAGGAAAGAACTGTTTCATTAAAAGCAATAACATATCCTGGTACCGGAGAAAAACCAAAAACAAACAAACAAACAAAAAATAAAAGCAATAACATAGTTTAGAATTAGAAAATCAGGGTGTGGAGATGTAGCAACTCATAATATGGTTTTTGAACTCAAGAAATTATGGAATCAGATTTCAGGTTAGTATTTCTTTATCCTTTCTCTGCAAATTATAGTGACATATCATATGGTCAAATGCTGGTTGTCTTAGTCCATTTGGGCTGCTACAACAAAATATCTCAAGCCAATTAATTTAAAAACACCAGATATCTGTCACTTACAGCTTGGAGGCTGAAAAGTCTGCAGTCAGGTTTTGTGTCTGCATAGATGCTACCTTCTGTGGCAGAGGAGCAGACAAGCTCAAGCCTCTTTCACAAAGGCACTAATGCCATTCATGGGGCTCCATCCTCATGTCCTATTCAGTCCCAAGGGATGCACCTCTTAGTACCAACATATTGGGGGTTAGTTTAACATATGAATTTTAGAGGGACACAGATACTCAGATCACAGCACTGCTGAAATAATTATAACTTCAGGTAAATGAATATGCTCAATGAAACAAATTTCAAAAGCCAAGTATCTCTGCCATTAACACACATGGAGCAAATATTCCTCACTATGACCAAGAACTAATTAGATGACTTTGATGAATTACAAGAGAATTACAATGAGTAAGGAAAGGTTGCTCTCTAAATGTTACAAACTATGATTTTGTTAAAATAACATTTTGAAATAAGAATATTACAGATATGAAATAAGAATATTGTTAATGACTATCCTGAGGTTAGCGAGTGGGTGGGAGGTGGGCGTGGCTTTCAAGGGCAATCATGAGGGAGCTTTGCGGATGTATGCGATTGGGCTGCATGAAGCTGCGCACGTGATAAATTCACATATGCCCGCGCACTAAACCGGAACAGTCTCTGAGGACTGTACCTGTGTCGGTCTCCTGATTTCCGCGGTGCTTTTTAGTCAGGCAAGGCAGTGGGGAAAGGCCGCAAGAAGCGGAACTCAGTTTCCTGCCTACAGTTATTTGAAAACAAAACACTTGTATAGGTTTTGTCTTTTGCAATACTAAGGATCAAACTCAGGCTCTTTTCATGCCAGGCAAATGTTCTACCCCTAAACTATATCGCTAATACATAAAACATTTTGAAAATATTGAAATGTCCTGGTCACTCTAAAGGAGGGGCCGCAAAGGAGGTCAGGTGAGAACACGAGTTCATGTGGCGGCCGGCAACAGGGAGGGCACCTGTGGCCCACAGTAAAGACGGAGCAGCTGTGTGATGCACCACCGAGAAGTCTGTGCACCTGGATTGGCAAAGCCTCCTAAGCACTACTGTTATTTTTTATGAAAAGCCAGAAATCTAAACTTCCAAGAAGAATCTGGCTTTTAAATACATAATCTATATGTACGATAATTTACTTTATAAGGAGTTACAAGATAAATAAACGAATCAGATGCTAGCAAAAACGGGAGGAGGAAGGAAAGGGGAAAAATTTTAAAAGAATTGGAATGTGCAGCATACACGTCATTATGTACTGCAAACATGTACTAATGAAGGTTTTTAAAAAAGTCAATCTATCAGTAAAATAAATAAATGCAGACAAGTACAATAATTTCAATTTTCCTGAATGGTGTGTAAGTAAAACTAAAGACTCAAGCATGCTGGATTCAGCGCTTGTGTATGAACTCAGCTTACAGACTGGTGTTTACTCTGACCAAAGATGGACTCCTCACTCCACAACCTGATACTGTAATCTGAGTACATAGCTTCCACTTGCCTTTGGCCTTTAGGAAAGAAAGAAATGATCATGCTTGGAGAATGAGTGTTCTGCTTAAGCCGCTAATGACAATGACGTAAACCACCAGGTTATGATTCCAAGGGATTCTAGATAATACGAGCATTCATCTGATGGCAGCTCGTGCTGATGCTGTCCCTGCTGAAAACTCTTGCAAGTCTAACCTAGACCTACAGTCACTTCCTTCCTCTGCTTGTGCCTGTGACATTTAGGTGCTCAGGTAGTATTCCTTGTATCAGTAAACTGTTCCTTCCAGGCTACCTTAGTGGTTTTTTAAAAAATTAACTTTATTGGTACACTTTTGATATACATAATAGTCACATTCAGGGTAAGGAATTTGTACCTGTACATAGTTTATCTTGATTCTTCTTTTTTCCCCATTTCCCGTCCCTCTCTTCAATTCTTCTTCCTCTTCTCATTTACAAAATCTTTGTTTCCATTTTTTTCCTTTTACTCTTTTTTCCTTTTCCCTTCCCTCCTTTCCCTCTCCCCCTTCCCCTGCTCTCCTTCTTATTTGAACATTTTCTCCCTATCTCCCAAAGTTAAATGAGATAGACACAAGTTAAGAGCCGCAAGCAGAGTCTGACAGCTTATGCTAGAACTTTCCTGTGGCTGACATGATGCCCCAGTGAACAGGCATCAGCAGAACCCATGCTCTCGACATCCCTTTGAAGCTCTGCCCATAGCCTTCTGTTCATGAGAGCACTAGTTTGTGTCTCTAGAGTATTTATCATGTCTGTTCTGTTAAGCGGTCAGAGTCAAGACATTCCTCCTAACCCCACGCCCAGTCTGGCCAGTTGACTCAAAATAAATGAAAAGTAGATACAGCTAACTGGATAGTCTTCACCACAACTTGCAAAAGAGCTCCATGTACGACATCAGGGAGTCATTTGCACCCCGTCCCACTCCTGCACTGTCTGAAGCAACACCATGTGCACTCATCAGACTTCTGCAGCCTACCTCTAGCAGTGTGAGCACCCTAATTCCTCTGTGAAAAGAGTGAAAAATTCCAATCTATTGGGTGCTAAAATTTCATCTATGGACTAATTATACTTTCCCAAAATCAAATTTGAAATGATTAAAAGATTTATTTGAGTTAATTCTTTGCTCTCATCCCTAAAATTCTGCCAATAAGAGTCCAGAGAATGTCTTCCAATCCTCTATTCAAAAAGTATTTGTAGCTATTACATAATTATATACCAAAAAACCAGACTTTTTCTGTTTGTCATTTTTTCACAATAATATGCACAGTTTTTGGTTCTCAGCCTCAAAAATTATGCTAATGTAGTATGAGTAATAATTCAAAGTGTAACCACTAATTTCTCTAAGGGGAAATATGCAGAGACCCTGGGCTCTACGTTTGTTTTCAATTAATTATCATGTATTTACTTTTCCATTAGTCCAATAATTCTTCTTTCAATTCTGAATTAAGCCATAAGATGCTGAATTATATAAAGGCCTGTTTAGGATAATGGACACACCCCATCATTCCCTAGTCCTCTCATTTATAGCCCTTAAAATGCAGAACCAGGAGGCTTATGTATGCCCTTTCATATTTATATTCCATCCTGCAATCACCTCCATAACTTACGCATTCTCAGAAGGTCCACCTAGCAATTAATAACAGTCTTTTCTAAGTCATCATCTTATTATATAAAGTGATCTTGATCACAAACTTTATTGGCAACTTTCAGCTCTAATTCCTTTTATCTTCCCATCCCCTGCCCAGTGACATCATGTATATGTAACAAAAATACTCTGCAAAATGACAGTGTTTAAAAATTCCACATGGGCCTGGCTGCACATTTAGTAATTGGTCTTTGCACTATGGAGTATCACAATAAATCGAGATTGTCATATTTCAGCTGAAGCATGTGATGCAATTCTTTATAGAAATGGAAATAAATTCTCCCTGTCACACAACACAGCATCTTAACTTTGTTTAGGGAGAGTAGGCAACAAGGAAGCTGTTATTTTTATTAAAAAGGTCAAAAAGAGAATTAAAACAAACCAATCCCAAATGCTTTGTTAAAAGGTAAAGGAATTTGTAACATCTCTTCCAACTGTAGGAAGGGGAGGGACTTGCAAAATTGCTAAGAAGTGCACCAGTGAAGAGCTGAAAGGAGCGTTAAGTGGATGTTCTTACAGTAGGGAACCAAGGGGCTGATGGGATTCTCATAAAACTGAAGGAAACACAACTTTTGGAGACAGCATTTCCAGTGCATGAGCTGGGAGGAGGCTAGACAGAGCCATTGACTTACCAACATCAGGGTCCACGGCTTGTACTCTGGTCAACAGAGCCTTGGTGGCAGTGTTCTCATAGACACAGGCGTTGTAATGGTCAGAAGAGAACACAGGCGGGTTATCATTCACATCCTCCAGGATCAGGCGGATATTGGACTGGCAAAATCTGCCACCGCCATCAGTGGCCCTAGCGATCAGGTTGTACACTGGGATCCTCTCTCTGTCCAATAGAGCTAAAGTTCTTAATTCACCTGTGAAAAGAAATGGCAGCATGGTTGGTCTGGATTTTCAAAAACTGTCTTTCTTGAAAAACAAAGAATCAATTAAATAAAATATTCTAAATACAAGAAGAACCAAGGACATTTGGCAAAGGACATTTGAAAAAAAGAGCATATTCAAAGTTTTTAGGCGTTATGGAAAAAATTATGAGATTCTGAACCCAAAAACAAACCAACCACAGGACCTTCAAATTAATGCCTCTGTCAAACTTGACTATCAGTTTTTCTATTGGCTTCATGGAGAAGCTTTGTAGAAAACTCACAGAGAAAGGACTAATACATCTAGTTGTTTGATGGTCAGTAATGTCAGTAACGCATAAGCTCAGGCCAAAGTTTTTGCTTCTAGATATTCAACTTTTTACCTTGTTTTTTAGTGGAAAATAAGGTAATTAAAGCAGACTGGTTCTATGGAACAGAGTCTTAAAAGACTCAGACTATGTTAGAGTTAAGCTTCTACTTCCTGGATTATGGAAAGTCTTGTGGTTTGGAAGTGAGCTGAGGAGAGGCTTGAAGTTTTCGAGCAGCAGCTAACAGCCAACTTGGAGGTCTGTTATATCCTTACTTTCATCACTGAAAAAGTTGTACAGGTAGTGTTGGATGCCAGCCCCTAGAAAGTACGTATGTATGTATGTATGTATGTATTTTGGATGTTGTTTAAAATTTAATAGGAAACAAAAATGAACACAATGACAAAGCTAATAGATGCAAAGTGCTTGAAACAAAGTAAGACTTATGAAGTAGTACTTTTAAATAAAGGTGTAGCCATTTGGACCAAGACATCTATATTTATGAGGCAGTTCCTTGTATGGTTTCCCTGTTGCAACCAGCTAGTTCTTAAATATAAGCTGGATCATTTCTTCTTCTTCCACTACTGAAGCTGTTTAATTTTTACACTTTATTTAAAAATTGCCATTGGATGAACTATCCAATTCACAATTTATAATTTACTTCAATAGAAAATGACTTTTTCATGAGCTCTGGACTGCAATGTAGGTATCTGCCTTCAGGTGCACATAGCCTTTCACCTTGTAAATTTTACCTGAATAGTCAAGAAATCCAAGGACTCGTGACTTCGGAGAAACTAGGCAGGAATGTTTAATAGAAGTTAGACAACTGTCTAAGAGTGGAGAAGGGACACAAAAGGGATTTAAAGAATAGCAAAACTTTCCTTACTCTGCGTTGCTATCCAGTTCACACTGCACCTTCATTTGTAATATAACCATCATACTCTTTGCAAGGTGATGCCTTAGCTTACACATGGGAGAAACAAGTGGGCACATGCATATTTGATGCTAATAAATGTAGACAAAGGCTGGACAAGCTTCATAAGCTAAATAAAGGTTAGTTCAGTCGTGTAGTCCAGAGCATCCCTATTTGGCACTTCGTACTCCTGTTATTTCTTATAGTCTGAGGTACCAGGGCATATCTGAAGGCTCTAGCATACTAAGCAGAGTCTCTCATGTGGTCTGCTGGTCATGCAAGCTTATGAGAGCTTAAGGTTTCTCATGGGTGGATAAACAGTGGTGTATAGCTAAGAAATAAATTCCACCTTACCACTTTCTGGATCTAGGAAAAATTCATTGCTTCCAGATCCATAGAGCGAGTACCGGACGTCTCCACTGGATCCAATGTCAGCATCCTTGGCACTGACCTTCAGGATGATTTTATTAGATGGAATGTCTTCAGGAAATGATGCTGTATATGCAACCTAGGGAAGGGTAAACAAAACTCGCTAAATCACTAGTGTTTGGGGGATGATTACTGCAGTTAGCCATTACACATGATCTCTCTAAAAGCTCATTTGTGTCATTTATCTTCAGCTATCTTTTCCTTGACTCTATACACTACACTCTATGGTGAAACATGGGACACTTGCTCCCTCCCCCTCCCACGCGCACTCATTCAGAAAATGTTATTACGCACTATCTGTGTGTTCAGGGTTATGGGACATGAGAGTACCAGGAGAAGACAAAAGTCCCACTCCTGTGAAGCCATGACACACAACACACATCACACACTGACTATGGCCCATTTTCCTGTTGACCTTAGAGATCTTATTTCAAGAGATCTATTTCTAAGCTACAGAACACCACTGTCTCTTGATCCACATGATAAGAAAAGTATTTTCAATAGTGAGTAATTTAAATAAAGAAGAAAGTGAAGTCTGGTAGCAGCACCTGTTACCATGTTTTGTAGAGCTGTGTAAAGGCTACTTCATGAGGATCCTGGACACTCATATTCAGTACCAACATTGCCACTAATCACTTGTGCAAAAAAATGTATATAGACAGACAACATGTAGAGCAATTCATTTCTCTATTATGGTACCGGTAATGCAGATCAAAGTGATAAGGTTCTTTACAATTACTAATTTAATTTTAAGATTTACTCTTTTCTTTGACAGAGGGCAAAATTAGGTACTTGATATTACTAGTATATTCTTTTTGTATTTAGCACATGTCATTTTGGATTGTACTTTCTACCCTCTTATCTCCAACCAAACATAAGAACGTACTCTAGTCGGGCCATAGGAAGAAAGCCCAAATGAGTTTTGATTTAATTTTAGAGACACAGAATAAAAGGCAGAGCTACAACCCCCAGCTCTCACCTGATCACACACTGGGCTATTGTCATTTACGTCACTGACTGTCACTTCCACCATGGCCTGTGTGACAAAGAGCCCGTCCGTGGCGGTAATATTGAGGAAGTAAATGTCCTGTTCTTCTCTATCTAGAGGTCTCTTCACATAGACCTTCCAGTCACTCTGCACCAGGCCTAGAGCAAACCTTCCTCTGGGGTTTCCTCCTGCAATGAAAACAGAAGTTCTGAAGATATGGGTGAGACACCTTGGTCTATGTCAACCATGAGAGGTCCATGTGGGTTCATCCAGGTGCCCCTCAAACTGTATATCATGGATGATATTGAAAAAAAAATTGATACTCCCTTTGATTCTCCTGCCACAAAGCAGGTATTTATATGCTGGGCTTGTGAGGAAAGTAAAACAGCAACTTTCCAAGAGAATAACATCCACTTAGAGAAACTGGAGATGATCTCTTGTTTAGCCCCCCCTTAAGGACAATCAAATTCAAACTGTGAACAATCAATCCTCTTCTCAGGATGTTACAATTGTCTTTCCACTTAGTCTCAAGAGAAGATGTAATACACTGTAGCTCTTGTTACCAAGACAATTTCATTAACTGTTGATTATGCAATCAAGAAAGGGTAGTCAGTTCTATTAAGCAATCTTTTAATGAAGGCTCTATCAGACAGCTGCGCTCTTCTCATAAGGACTGGAGTTTGGGGAGAAAAGTTTACGTGACAGAGGAAGACCCATTAGTATTTAATAGCCCTAACGAGGGGTCATTTAAGGAACAGTTCAAAGATAAGCACTGCAATTAGGTCAAATTTATCAGAGTGGAGCTGGGGAAAGAGGAAGGAGAGTAGAAGAGATGAAGTGAAACAGCTTTTCATGATGCTGCAGCCCTGGCAGTGGGCCTGGCCATGTCACCTTTCTGCTTCATTAATTACCCGGAGACTAAAGCAGCTCAGCACAAGGTAGGAAGGGGAGGGAGGAGAGCTACCTTGGCCCTAAAAGGAAAAATAACATTAGTTCAGACAGTGAGAAAGGCTGGGCTGGAGACAACTGCAAGAAGTCTGGGGTCAGGTGCAAGGGTCACTACTTCATTTACTCTGCTTATTCAATTGTTTATCACCTTGCTTATCACCTTCCCTGGGGCAATGCTCTAGGCAGGAAGCAACAGCAGTGGGCAAGACCAACAGAAATTCCTGCTCTTTTAGGGAAACACACATTCTAAGGGGGATGGCTAACAACAGTTAAAATAATTAGATCTGAGAGAAGGTGCTAGTACCTTGAATTTCTATTGGCAAAATCAAAATCCAACTCATGTAAATAGAACTAAAACTTTACCAAAAAGAAAGTGGGAACTAAGTTCTAGTAGGTGTTAGGCAGGCAGTAGAACATTAGTGAGTCTGAAGGGTTTAGGGGGTCCCAAGTAGTTATCATTACTATTGATTATACTTATAGTACATAGTTATATAGCCAGTCACAGTAAAATGAAGAAACAAGTATTATAGACAGCTAAGTTAAGAAGAAATATGACAGGCAATCAGACAGGTCTGGGCCGTAGAGGGACTCAGTGCAGAAGATGACACATCAGAACTTTGCACCTGTGGCTGTAGGTGTATCTAAAGAAGGTTAGTGACAATGGCCAGATTTACGTACTTCGCTAAGGGATAAAGGCAAATTTGAGATTATTGGTACCACCCTTTTGAGATTTCCCTGTATAAATAAACAATGATCTCATTAAGGGTGGGGCATCTTTTCCCACCCTCTAAGAGTAGGACTAAGACTACTAAAACTAAGACTAAGACCATTATTATCAACCACGGTTGAAGATGTCATCCATGTGCCCTTGCTGCTGTTGGGTCAATATTAGCAAAATAACTGTACTTGTCATCACACTGGTTGACTATAGTTTTGACTAACATCATACTCACCTCTGTAAAACTTCCTCAGAGCAGTGGGCTCACCAGGAACCCATTCGAGAGCCCTCCCATCTCTCAGGAGCTACTCCTATGCCCCAGTCCTGTTCCCCAATCAGTTTTCCTACTCTTCCCCACGCCCTCCCCCATTGTTCCTTAGAATTGATCGTTCAACTTCAGGGAACATGCATCCAGCATATCTCACATCTAGCAGGTTGGGAGTTACATGTTTTTTCCTCAATTTCACAAGGACCTCAGAGTATGATACATTTATAATCATTTGTTTTCAGACTCAGAATGACTCCATGGAGCACAATGACATGTGCAACTTACATATATGCACATTTATCCTGACACCTGGCTGACTGGCCATCTATTTCCAAAAAGCGCATAAAGCATTCCTGTGCGCCATGGCCTATGGCCTAGAGATATTATAAAGGAGAACGTTCATTAAAGACCCTCCCACCTTGTGTTAATACCTGATTTAGAGTAGAATTTTTTCTTTTCTAAATTTCTTACATGACTAAGCTCCCCCAATATACCGGTCATCTGAAAATAACAAGGAAAACAATTTGCAATTCCAAAGTAACCTTTAGGAAAACTATTGATAAGCATCATAGTTATCACACTTTGTGAACTCTGGGAGCAACTACGTTTTTAAAGAGAAAAAAAAATTTGAAAACAAGCTAATAGGAGAGTAACAATGGTAGCAATGGTTAATACATTGCATATTGTTATCTTTACAGTAGTTACTCAGAATATAATTGTCCAAACAATATTAGCACAAACCTTTCTTTTTAAGGAGCTAAGAGAAATTAGTAGTACAGTTATCTTAACTATCTTTTATATATGCATATTATTTTTTTCTTTTTCTTTTCCCTTAGGAATAACTCTTGATGTGTAAAAAGACACATAAACTTTAAGATGGTACCTATGGGGCAGTGCCTACTTTCTGGTTTGAATCATAAATCTTCCTATCATACTTCTGCAGAGCTACCTATGTATTTTGACTATATTCTTTCATGAAAGACCAAAGGACTGAGGGCTGGTTCCCCATGGCATTAGGCCCTGGATCCCCAGTATCATAGGGAAATTACTGTTAAATGTTAGTGAATCAAATACTTTCTTTGTCTTCCTTACATAAGAATATCATAAAAGTTTTCCCTCAGATACCTTTAGTGGAGCTCTTAAAAAGTCTGTGATCTGGAACTGCTCAATTCCTAAATTACTTTTTGCTCCAACAAACATTTTATTGTGCCTAAGTATATCTTTGAACACAGCTAACAAATAAATAATATATACTGTATGTTGAGTGCTACTTCCCTGAAAGAATGAGGCCATATCTCCTTCTAATGAATCTTAAGAAAAAAGTAAGCAAAGGGCAAGAGCAAGCATCATGACCCTAAAGGAGAGACTGTAAGGGAAGGAGCAGGATTCTGAGGGCCAGACTCATTCTGGTTATAAGACACGGGGAAGGGGTTGGTCTCAGAGCCTCAGCATTGGGGGGAACCATGGGATAAACGTAATCAAACTTTGCAGATAGTGTGGAAAATGAATGTTGAACATTCCTCTTGGGCAGTGGCTCTCAACTGGGGGTTGGACCTTTTCCCTCTCTGGGGTATTTGTCAGTGTCTGGAGATTGTTCTGACTGTCATAGTGAGAGCATGGTAGTAGTATGGCTACTTGGATCTACTAGGCAAAGGGCTGGGGTGCTGTGATACATCCTCCAGTACAACGCCCACCCTCAAGAACTGTACATCCCCAAATATCAGTAATGGTTTGCTGAGAAACCCTGGTCTAGAGAGGCTCTGGGTCCTCCATGGGATATCACTTTCTTCCACCGCTGGCTAGGGTTCCGTTATGCTTTAGTTGAATATTATTTCAGTGCACATAAATTTAACCTCTCTATTAAATGCTTTCAGCGCAGGCAGGCCCACACTGTTCTTTTGTTACATAAGTGATTAATGGTCTTTTGTTAATCTGAGGCAGCACAGCCAAGTTGTGCTACATCAAGAGCAAAAGTTAAATCTAATTAAAATCAGCTGGTGGTTGGCACTGCTAATAGTAACAATAGCTTTAAGCTACTCCGTACTCATTACTTTGGTAAAGTTGATGGGATGGTCCCTTTAAATCATCTGTTGCAAATTTAGAGACTATGTAAAAATAATTAAGGCTGAATAATTAACAGTCCTTCCAAATAGAGAAGTAGCCCTCAAAATGCCTTAGAAGCTTTCCCCTCTGAAATGAAATGCAAATAAATCCAAATGTAGCTTTGCTCACCTTTTTTTCCTTATCATTATCTCTCACTTTCACTGCAGAAATGCACATTTTAGTGAAAAAAGGCTGAAGGTATCAGAAAAGCATAAAATACAAAAAATGTTCTTATAAGCAAAACACCTCCAAAAACAGTCCACAAAGAAAAAGATTAATGCTGAAAAGTGTGGCAACTCCACCCACTGACATGTTTACTCTACTGCGGATCTTATTCTGCAGTGATTAATTAACTTTCCACTAACATACTTAAGCAGGTTCTGAGTCCTAAGGGCATTCTAATTAATTCATTTTTCACTCTGAATAATGTGGTTTTCTCTAAAGGAAAAGCCACCTGACTTTGAGTATTGATGGAGTCTTTAAAATCTTTTGGCACACTGCTTATGTTCTGGCTTTGAATGTCACAGCATCAAAATACTAGCTTAAACCCCCAAATCATTTTTAGGAAGGCCGTCCTCACACTACCAGCCTTTTTCTCTTTGTTGTCAAAGGCCTGTCAGCCCCAGCAAGCCATTCCTAATCAGTGACAACCCTTTTCACTCTGACATGAAGTCCTTTCCTCTACAGAGCAATAGCGACATTTTTATGCACCTTTGGTGACCTCATTTGTCTGTCTTGGTTTCCCAAAGAACTGCTACTTCTTATTTGGAAAGATAAGAAAGGATCCAAGAAAATGGAGTTGTCAGAAGAAACCCCCTTGATTTGGAATTATAATTTAGGACTTAGTAAAGGTCACATGGTGAGTTCCAATCTGTCTGTGTTTGTGCCTGTGTACTGTTATGACTAGGAGAAACTTGTATGTGGAGCTCACTGGAATCAAGCTGTTTGGTTTGCTTAGCACTAAAAAGAGGGTAAAAAAAATACATATATTTAGAAATGTCTCTCTTCACCCAAAAGAACTATTATTTTCCTTTATTCAACTAAAATGTGTCTAGACTTCATGACATGATAAGTGACACAAAGATTGAGTGCCAACCTCGGTAATGCTGTAGACAAATAAATGAACTCCAGACGAAGGCTGAGTTAATGACCAACCATCAAAAATCCGAATCTATTTGGAGACCTTTAACTTTGCCCAGAAAGGTTTTATGGCTCTCAGGTCTTACCTCCTCTTTTTTCTTCTCTTGTTCCCTGACCCACTCACCTCTCTCATCTTTCTTTAGTAAGCAGAGCACTTGGTGAGACCTGGGTGTTGAGACTCACCTGTAATATGGTAGCTCACTTGGCGATTAATGTCAGAAGTGTCTCTGTCCCATGTGCTGAGCACAGCCACCACCTCTCCTGGAGGGTCACTCTCCTTCACATTCCCTCGGTACACCTCGTGGGCGAACACCGGTGCATTGTCATTTATATCCGTCACCCTGACAGAGACCAGAGCCATGGAAGAAAGAGAGAATGCCTCTCCTAGGTCAGAGGCCACCACAGAGAAGGAGAAAGCAGGGTCTGTCTCGTGATCCAGGTCCTTCAAGGTAGTGATCCAGCCTGTGTTGCTGTCAATATTGAATGCTTCCATTACCTTTTCAGGATGGGAATCTGAGTGGAGGGAGTAAGTGACCTGCCCGTTGGCTCCCCAGTCCATATCGGTAGCTCTCACCTGTGTGAGCTTGGTGCCAACAGGCATCCCCTCCATTATGATGGTCTCGTAGCTTGAAGTTTCAAAGACTGGCTTGTTGTCATTCAAATCCAATACCTTGATATCTACATCCACGGTAAACACAATGTCTACCTTGTCCAGGGGGATAGTAGCTGCTACTTTAAAGTGGAAAGCTGGGCTAATTTCATGGTCAAGGCGCTTGTCAAGTTTGATAGTGCCTGTTTCCTGTTCTATGATAAAAACACCCCCTTTGTTATTCTCTGGCAGTTCGCCATTCACTGTGCTGAACCGGACATTCTGACTGGGTAAAATGCGCAGGGTGTCCACTGTGCTCCCAATGGCTGCATCTTCTGCTATGGTAAAGGCGTACTGAGACTGGGTGAATGAAGGTAAAAATGTTTCGGGGGGCAAGACGTGGATATAGACTGGAATGAGGGAGTGCTTTACTGGAATGCCCCCATCGACTGCTTTGACAAAGAATGACAGCACTGTATTTTTCAGCTGGTTAAAACTACCCTTTGTGACCATCCATCCATTGTCAGGATCAATTTCCAAGAGGTCAGCCACTGAGACAGAGGCCTCACTGTAGAGGGAATAAGTAATCCTTGAGTTTGCTCCATCATCTGGATCCATTGCTTGAACTTGAGTGACTAAGTGGCCCCTTCCCACATCTGCCCTTACACTGGCTCTGTATTCTACTGTCATGAACTGGGGTGCGTTGTCATTTTCATCCACAACAATCACCCTCACAGTGCAGAAAGTTGTCCTTCCTCCACCGTCGAGGGCCCTCAAGAAAATACTAACATCTCCTTCCAGAGGGTTTTCCCGGTCTAGCCGTTCGGTTGTGATGACTTGTCCATTGCTATCTATGAGAAATCGGTCCTTGGCAAAATCATTAATGATGGCATAGCTGATCTGCCCATATGTGCCTGGGTCCCCATCTGTGGCTCGAATATGAATTACCTTTGTACCAGCAGCTGCATTCTCTCTCACCTCAGCCACATATGTGCTTTGCGAAAAGGAGGGGCTGTACAAGTTGGCCCCGAGTACCCTGATATGTACCTGTGCAGTGCTGGTGAATAACCCATCAGAAACAGAGACATTGAGGCTATACAGGGGCTCCATCCTCTGTTTTCGGTGGTTAGACAGGGTGATAACTCCACTCTTGCTGTCCATCAGAAAGCTTGTCCGGTCATTCCCAGACAAAATGCTATATTCTAACCGGTCAAAGTCAGAGCTGTCTGCATCTGAGGCTTGCACACAGGTTACAAAATGGCCCCGGGGGGCTAATTCACTCACATATGACTCATAAATGAGTTGATTAAAAACTGGAGGGTTGTCATTTATGTCAGAAATGTGGATATGAACCAGAACCTCACTGCTCAGTGATGGGAAACCATTATCTGTTGCTCTGACTTTCAAAGTGCAGTGTTGTACTAACTCATGGTCCAGCATCCTTGCTGTCAGGATTAAGCCACTTGAGCTGTCTATGTGAAAATAGTCTGTGCTGTTGTAGGTATCCTGCACAATCTGATAATGAACCATTTTATTGTTTCCTGAGTCTGCGTCAGTGGAGACAACTTGCAAAACAGGTGTGCCAATGAGAGATGCTTCTGATAATGTTGTATTGTATGTGGGCCGATCGAAAATAGGAGGGTTGTCATTTACATCGTTAACTAGCAAGTCAACAGTGACTTCAGCCCTAGCACCAGTGAGGGCATCACTGGCTCTTACTGTCAACTTGTAAATAGATGTAACTTCATAATCTAGAGGACTAACAACTTTCAGGACTCCAGTATCAAAATCAATGTTAAACTGTTTAAAAGGATCCCCATCAATAATAATATATATGATGCCTTGACCTTCTGGACTGGTTGCATTGATGCTTAGAATGGGAGTGTCCATTCTAATGTCTTCATTGATGGATGCTGTGTAAAATGGCTTATCGAACACTGGCATTGCTTTGTTGACAATGGTGATGGGAAGTCCCACAGATGTGGACAAAGAGGGTTTTCCACCATCTTTGGCTACAACAGTGACTTCATACTCAATGTTGGACAAGTCAGAGTTGAATGCTTCTTTTAAAATAACATTCCCTGAATTAGGGTTAATTTCAAAGTGGCCATAATCATCCTGAAGGACATAGGTCACATCTCCATTTGCACCTTTATCTCTGTCAATGGCTGTCACCCGGTATATCAGAGTCCCAGGCTCAGCATCAACTTGCACAGCAGCATAGTAAGGGAGGCCCACAAAGACTGGAGAATTGTCATTTATGTCTTCAATGTTAACTCTGACCACCACCCTCGCCACACGTAGATGGTCTAGCTCACGGCTGGTCTCCACTACCAACTCATACAGTTCTTGTTCTTCACGGTCAAAGGGAACTCCAGTGGTCTGAATAACTCCTGAGGTAGATTTTATCTTGAATTTATTACCTGGGTTTAAAATGCTGTATTTTAAGGGCTCGTTAAGGCGGTTTCCAACTGCATTGACAATAGCAACTTTGGTTATGTTAGTGTTGTTCTCTAAGATTGAGGTGGAGTAAAAGCTTTGTGTAAAGTGGAGGCCACTGTCCATGGCTTCTTTAACCATGATGGTGACCATGGATGTGCTGTAGAACTTTCCATCAGACACTTTCACTATCAGCATGTAGTGATCTTTGGAAAGGTTGTTGTTTTTTATGGTGAGTACTCCACTATTTGAGTCAATTAAAAAATGATCCAAGCTGCCTTCCATTAGGCTGTAAGTCAGTTCAGGGGGCACTTCAGAGTCAGGATCTGTGGCACTAACTTTCAGAACCTCCACTCCAGTGTAGGTAGGGAGAAGTAAGATGGTCTCAAACACAGCTTGAGTGAAAACAGGTGGGTTATCATTCACATCTGTCACCTGGATGTTGACTTCGACAGGACTCTCTGCAGTCAGCTGGGGGCTCCCACTGTCCCTCACATGCACATGAAAATGGAAATGGGCAATGGTTTCATGGTCTAGGTTTGCAATTGTTCTGATTGCACCTGTGCTGGAGTCCACTGTGAAAAACTTCTTGGCTGTGGACTCCACAATTTGATACACGAGCAGTGCGTTCTGGTTACTATCAGCATCAGTGGCTCGAATGACCAGTGGGCTGTTATCTAAGCTCCTGACAATGCTATTGATTGGGGCTGCCTCACTTAGACTGCCTGAGTATTGAGAAAAGAGAAAGACTGGAGCGTTATCATTTTCATCAACAATCTGAACATGAACTGTGGCATTGGAAGCCATTCCTGCCATGTTAGTGGCCTGAATGATGAGTCGATAAGAAGAAGTATGCTCATAATCCAGAGCCCTTCGAGTGGTGATGACTCCAGAATATGGATTGATGGTGAAGATTCCATCAATGTTTCCATCTTTGACTTCATAAATGAGGGTTGATTGACTGATGGCAGAGATTAGAATGACTGATGTTCCAATATCAACATTCTCGTTTACTTCAGCTTGGTAGTCTTTGTGAGTGAACTTGGGGTGAGAGTTATCAGACATGGTGACAGAAATGCGCACAATTGCAGTGGCAGACATTGGTGGGGAACCTTGATCTGTGACTTTGACAGACAGGACAAACTGACCCATTGTTGTCATGTCTGGTTCTTTGGAAATAGTGATGATGCCCAGGACTGGCTCGATCTTAAACGTGTTCCCGGTATTCCCTAAAATACAGAAATCAACGGGGCAAGGAGTTACAAGTGAGTCATTAGAATCTTTTTTGAAGATTAATTTTTCATCTAAAAGCAATTCAGAATATCGACAGTTTCTTATTTCATGAGAAACCTCTCAAGTTTTTAGTGAAAAGAATGGCCACAGATTAGAAAAGCAACCTTAAAATTTGTTATATGTACTTTCATGTCTGTGTGCCTTGTGTATTCATGTCCACCAGCATAGAGGAGGGCAGGCGTGGAGAGGTGGGGTAATCAGGAAAGTTTTCACTTGCAAAGAAAACAGTGACCTTTTATTGAAATGTGACCAGAAGACAGAAATTTCTTGTATTCATTCCTTACTATTCTGACAAAAATGACAGACTTATCTTTCTAGGATAATGAAAGCAATTGAAATAAGTTTTCCAGTAAAATTATTAATTTTAGATCAGTAGCTTTTGGTTCTAGGGTGAAAGCAGCAGCTGCAGCAACAAAAGAAATAACACAACACTGTGTATATTCAAGGTGAGAAATAAGAAAGCTGGTAGGAGAGATATTTCTGCCAAGAATGTCTAGAACGTCCTCATTCCTAGCCTGTGAGGAGACAGACAGGCTAGACTGGCACATACCAGTGCCGCTGCTACGTTTACCTGTCTGTCTGTCTGTCTATCTACCTATCTATCTATCTATCCATCTATCTATCATCTGTCTATCTATCTATCTATCTATCTATCTATCTATCTATCTATCTATCCCTAAATCAGCACCATACCCTGTGTTTTATCCTGAAAGAAGGAGAACTGTAATAGCTTTGGAGCATTTCTGTGTTGTCATTTGGTTTCCAATGATCTGAAAAATAAGCTTTGTGACACAAAATTGTTGATATTTCACTCTAGCAGAACTGACTTCCTCTGAAACATGACTTTGATAATGTGGGTTTTATCAGGTATGGAAAATTCCTCCCAGGTCACTTTTGCAAGTGGTGAGATCTTTTTCTGATTCCTACCCTATTCTCCGTTCCTGCTATACTCGTCTACCATGGCCTTGAACACACAGACATGGAAGTACATAGAAAATATTCTACTGTGGTTGCTCCAGTCTGTTACCATTCTGTTCACTAAGCAACTGAGGCATTTCTGATGAAGTAAGAAACTGTTGATTATTGGAATCAGCCTTGAAACCAAGCACTTGAGGAATAAGCATTTACAAGCAGGAGACACGGGATCCCACTTACACAGAATGAGCAGAGCTGTGGGCCATGACCCTGTTCAGGTTTGTGGCTCTGCACTAATTTAGAATCTGGGACTGTTGAAGGTGATGAAATAAAAAATGGAAAACACAAAACTTAAAGAACAAAGAGAAGATTAAGCACTGACACAGAGCTAAAAAGTGGTGGGAGACATGAAGATGCATCGTTCAGGCTGCTTTATGTTCCCCTCTCAGGCTTCCTGCACGTGTCAAAACACACATGCCTTTGTTTTTAGATTCCTTTAAACCAAAAGTTAAAGATCTTGGTTATTCAACTGTATCTGTGTTTTTCTTTCCTTTGGAGTACTGCAGGCATACAGACCATTTAATTATCAAAACATTAAGATAGGATTCTGGATTCAGACAGAGTTCCTTCATATGATATGTTTATTGAAATAAACAGCACATAAAGCTGGGTACATATTCCTTGTTATATACTTTTTAAATGGATTTTTCCATGTCTGAACAGAAAAGGATTATATTCATATAAAATTTATTTGATTATTTTTAAAGAGACAGCATATCTAATAAACAGATCATTTGATTCCAGCTTCAAAATGTGAGCATTAAACACTGTTATCTGTGATATTTGCATGAGTTTTTACATTGCCACCTACACATGACCATTTTGTGATGAAAATAATAACAAAAAGTTCAATGATTGTTTAAATAAGCCTTCAGTGAAGAGCACCATGGAATAAGCCAGAAAGAGCATTCCCCTCAGCAGTGGTTACTTTCCAGTGGTAGGTCCAGCCCTGACTGACCAATGCTAACACAGCAGGTCCCTCTGCTTGGTTGCGGGATCCTACCTCAGAGTTTCTAGGGAAGATTCCCCTCACTTCAGGTCCAGCAACATTTCCTTATCCCTAGCAGTATACATTATAGTGGACACTGAGTGGAGCCAGCTTTTGAACTCCAGGAGAACTCTGTAAACCTGCTGTCCCAGGACCCCTGATCTGCTCCTTGTACCCCTTCAGCACACTGTGCTTGCATGTCAGCCCTCCCTGTTCCTCTTCCACACCTTGGTTCATTTCTTTGGAATCCACTTCTTGCTTATTCTCTCCTCTTCTAGAATATTTGGAAATGAACCTCTGCTTGTTTTCCGCAATCTATGGCTTCTTGTGGACTTCTGACAACTGGGTACGAGCTGCTCTCTTAGCTGTCATTAGCTATCTGGTACATAGCATAGTGCCTGCCACAAAGAAAGGGTACAATAGTTCTTTGTGGAAGGACTGAGAGGAGAGACTGATCTAAAAGAGGTTTTAAATTATCTTTGTATATGCCTTTCCGGTTTCAGCAGGTCTCCATCTAACTCAATATGCAGCCTGGTTTCTCTTATACTCTGCTGTCTCAGAACCATCGCTGGCACCAAACACAAAACTGAAACTAAATAGATGACCTGTAACTCTGCAGTTAAATTCTGCCTCAGTCCTTCAGGTCAAAATAAATAGCTTCAGTAGTTACTCCAGAGGCCAGGCAAGAGATAGGAGATTTATAGTCCACCAGTAAATAGTAAAATCTTGCTTATCAGAGGTATATTAAAGAAGTTAAATAAAAATGTAACATTTTACACAGCCACTTGTCATTTGCTTCAAAATGCTGAAGCATCAGAGATCCGTCTCTCTTCCCATCATCTGAGAAGGAGTTTTCGTGGCCAGCCTGCATCTGTGAGTGTGGGTAGGAGCCTACCAGCTGTGAGAGATTCATTGTGCACACTGTAATTCCTGTTATTCTTTATACGTATACTCAGAGGGCTTCTTTTTTCTTCAGAGCTCAATCCTTTTCATGGTTTACTGGAAATTCGGGTTTTCTTTATAGAGGAGGTTTGAAGGAAATATATTTTTTCTTGTTTTAACCAGTTGTTAAAGAAAGGGCAGAGAACCAGGCTGTAGTCATGCAGTTTAAAACATAAGTGGAGCAGACTTTCTGTTGGCTGATAAGTTAATTACTTCTTGAGAACCTCCATATTGGTTTAAAAATTATCTGGCTATCTAGATAAGTAGTGGAGTCAATGACGATGTGAAAAGCTGGTAGAGGTAGACAGACAAATGTTTAGAAGAATGATTTAAAAAGTTAAAAATAGGCGTTATAGCCAAATGATATGAAACAATGTACAGGCATGAATGAATGTAGGGCGAAAAAGACAAGATTAGGAAAAAAAAACAGAAAGAATTGTTGGATTAGATGACATTTTCTGTGAAAGGTTTTCCTTTGTTGTTATCATGGAACCAAAAGACTAAGAATTACATAATTAAATAATAAAAAATGTTCTGTGATAATCAAGAGATGCAAAGTAGCATTTCAAAATACTGGCAAGGCTTTGGGCTGAAAGAAAACCTCATGGAAATCTAGAAAAGAAATGGGGGAATTCTTTTGAGGCACTTGGCTGTTAGGGACTGATAGCTTTTTTTTTTCTTTTTTCTATATAGAGGTTAGAATAGACTCAGGTAAAATTTGGAGCCTAGAACAGAAAATAATTTTAGATTATCATTTGATATAGGGATATTTTTTAAAAGAAGGTTATTGGCTTTTTTCTAACATTCCTAATCCCAAACTGTCATTCTAGCATTTCTATTTTAATTCAGCTACTCATAAAAATGCTGTACATTTTTACGAAAGGGAAGAAGCCTTTCTATTGTTGGCAAAAAAAGAGAATGCGCTTGGCATTATGCAGGGCAGACATAATGTTGCAGACTGTTTTGGAAATATGTAGTTTGAATATTCCAAAAGACAGAACAGGGGAAGGAAAATAGAGTAGGTAAAGGATGTCTGTCATTTTTAGGGCCACAGTCCTATGTCTTGCTTGGACATTTATCTCTCTGTCATAATGCTGTCTAGCTATCCATCTTCAAGCCATCTGTAAACTATGAGCTTATCTTATGAATGTTAAAACTGGCTTTTAAAAAATCTCAAATTTAACAAAATAAAAGGCTATGCATACTTATGTGTCAGGTGACACAGGTATTTCAAACCCCTCATCTACCAATTTTTCTCCTACTCAGACTGCCTCCAGTGCAGTGAACTTGTGCTAACTGTGGGGCTGTGGAGAGTTCTGAAGCCTACAAGTCACCTACTGATAAATAAACAAGGATATGTGGGATTCAATTTACAGAACAGGCAAGCCGTCCTGAGGCGATGGTAAACTTTGGTTATTCTATTCTGAGACCATGGCTTATTGCACCATGGGTAAAAGCCACAGAATGTATTACGTATCTCTTCTCCCTTTGCCATTCAGAAAAAAAAATCTGAGATTAAACACAAAGAGGAAACTCTTTCCTTGCTGTCAATAATAGAAAACATATCACTGAAATGCCAAGAATTTTATACACCATCACACATAAATAGGATGGTTGCTTGGCCAAAGATTTTCATTTCAAGTCATAACAATCTGCGTTTCACATGGTGACATATAATACTGAGGGTCCGGTGCCATGTATTACACTGAAATCTGTGCAGTGAAACAGCTCTCACCTGCTTCTATGGTATATATGAGTTCTGCATTTTCCCCTTTGTCTTTGTCCAGAGCCGTCACTTGCAGAACAGCTGATCCCAAAGCAGCCGATTCAAACACAGATGCTTCATACAGTGGATTGGTAAAATAAGGGCTGTGATCATTAGCATCTTCCACATTCACAATGACTCGGGCCAAGTTTCTTCGATAAGGAAACTCCTGATCTCTGACCTTTAGGCAAAATACAAGAAGCAGCAGGACTAAAGTCTTAAATTGCAAAGAACTCACATGACTATGTCAGCAGTGAAGTCAAAATGAGATAATAATGCACACAAAGTGTGTGACCAGCCGTGGTGCCTAGCAAGTGCTCGCTGAGTGGTAGTATCGCCAAGAGAAGAGGTTAATTTTGTACAAGGGCAGGGGCACTTAATCTTTATTGCTCAGTTGGATGCCTGGCCTACAGTCTGGGCTTGAGCTATGCCTACAGAACTGGTATCTTGATAGCACAATCACAGTACTCTTCTCTAGGTCCCTACACAGCCGCTTTTTCCTTCTTATGTGTGCTTAAAGCTGCTCATGGAATGATGGATGGAGGCTCTTTTAAAAGGAAAATAAAGAGTGGGCTTTATGAATACAATGCTTCATTGCCATTCATTCATTCATTCATTCAACAAACATGTATTGTTATCTACTGGCTATCAAATCCCAGGCTTGACTCTAGTGGTTTAGTGGTAAAATGTGTATAGTCCCTATCCTCAAGAAGATTCGAGTGGGGAATACAAGGAAGTAAATACATATAACACACAGTGCTAAGTGAAGGTGTGGGCTGCTTAAAAGTGCACTCAGAGTGAGTTGGAAGAAAAACCTAACCTAGTGTTCAACTTCCTGGAAGAGGTAACAAGTCCAAGTAGAGGCAGTAGAATGGTGGTAATGATGGCAGCTGATGCTTCCATGCAGGAAGATCCAATATTCACAAAGGCCAAGAGCTGAGAGAGAATCCTGACTCTAGTAAGATGAAGCCAATCTTCATTTTTAAGGTTGAGACCTCAGTGTGACTTTACCAAAGCACTTTGCCCGAGAGCTTTAAAATCCCCCCATTTGGCTTCTGGGGCAAGGTTATAAACAGTCCATTCTTCACCCACAGCCACACGGTTCTGTGATCATCTGATGAGGCACTAATCACATGTGTGCTTTTGGCTTGCTCAACTTTAGACTGCACAATTTCACAGAAAGATGCAAAGAAATTAGAAAATATATGGAAAAGAGCCATCAAAAGGAAAGAGGGTTTCATAAAGAGCACCTCAAAGGAATTAGTAAAGTGGCTAAAATGGCTTGGCATGGAGAAAGCCAGCATAGAGGACTTATTTGCCCTCAGTATTCAATGACATAAACGGTAAATGGTAAAGGATGACCAAGCTGAATTCTGAGTTTGAGGCAAGAGGAACAGAAATGACTTGAACTGTGAGAATAGAGTTAGTCACCAGAACAATGTTTCTTGTTTTGAAGAAAGCACATGCAAAATGGACCCAGGGAGTATGCTGGATTTCTACAGATTTGTCTGCCACACCTGGAGGCCAAGCTGAACTCTTTACTGTGGGGTTACTGATGCAGGCCAGCTGCATCTGAACAGTCCTCCAAATGTGCAGGAGCTTTGTGTCCTTTGTGTCCTCAGTACCTGGAGCAGTGCCTGACTGACACTACATGCTGCAGATGTAGCTCTTGAATAAATGAGAATGAATGAATGAATGAATGAGTGAATGGTCAGAGGGATGAATTTGATGACTCTGTGAGCTGGCCCTTTTCCTCTTTAGAGTTTGAGGTAGAAACCATAGGCAAGGGTGGGCAACATAAATTTCCTCTTGCCCAGAAAGGTTTCCCATCTCATGAAAGAAAAGTAGCAGTTAATAGACCATTACTTTTAGCTGCTTGGGAATTTGTAGAGTCTTAGTGTATTTTAAAGACAATCAGTACAAAAGATTAAGTGTCTGTCATCCTACCTGGTCTTCAGGAGCACAGTGAGGCTCTGACAGGCAACATCTATGCATTGCCCATGGCACTTCTGGGTTGTTAAAAGTATAGGACACAAGTGAACTAAATGTGTTTCCTCTTAATCTTTACTTTTTAATAATGTGCACCAAACAAACCCCCTTTTAAAACTAAAGAAAGTCTCCTATATAGTTGGAAGGAACATAAATGAACACAAATTCAGATTTAACAGCTCTGCAGGTTTGATGTGTGTTAAGATCTCTTTTGTGTTCCTGTATTCAGTACTAGGTCCCAGGCCGGAGCAGTAAGTAGTAAACTGGGTCTGTAAATGCTTCCAAGGACTGAGCATTGCATAGGTTGCATGTGATTATCCTTGTGACTAACTTCTAAAAGAACTTCTTTTAAATATTTTCACATCGCCTTCTGGAGGAGAACCAACCATACAGGTTGGGAACATGGTCTGTTTCTTCCCTCTCAAACCAGTCGGTCAGCAGCATTTACTGAGCTGCCAACCTGCAGAAGTTATCTAATGCTTCAGTTTGACCAAGAAAAAACATATATATATGAAGTTTCTATCCAGCAATGGTAATTCTTCATTGAAATAAAGAGGTAAAAGAATGAATGCAACCTGGCGATGAAAAGACCAAATTTGCTGCTACTTACAAAACCAAACAGCCCTATACTTCTGAAGACTAAGGTGTTTGTGCCTTGCACTGTTAATGTTGTCAAGAGGATGAATTAGCAGTTTGGTCCTACCATTATGTTGAGAATGTGCTTATCCTGAGCCTCGTGGTCCAGTCTCTCGGCAGTGTAGAGCATGCCGGTGGTGGGGTCAATCCGGAATTTTCTCATGCTGATGGAGTCGATGCTACTGTGGACAGTGTAGCTCAGCTTGTGCTTCTCATCTCTATCTGTGGCTTCAATTTGCAGTATTTCTGTGTCTGGAAGCACATCCTCAGAAATTGTCACATCATAATGTGGCTGAGAGAATTCTGGACCATTATCATTATTGTCCAGCACTTTGATAAATACCTATAGTTAAAATAAGACAAGAGTAATGATTAATATCAGCTCACTCACTGCCAATAAAAGAGGTTACTTCCTCTCTCCCCACCCCCATGTCCTTGGGTCCTACCTAGCTTCTAGCAGTTTCCTCAACATGTAGGAAGCTGTCTTATAAAAATACTGTCATGAGAGGTTGAGCATAAACCAGTAATTCACATTATCAGGAACGTAAACTATGAGCTGATCAATATCCTCATTACTAATTGAACAAATGAGCAGCTATCAGAAGGTGTAAGGTGGCCTTCATTTTGTATTTACTCTGAAAGCTTTCGTTACGTGTTTCTGGTGGAGTTATGTGGCGGGAGGGACAGAAGGGGAGAGTCACCAAGAAGGCGGAGGAAATGGAGAAACGCACAGGTGGACTGGGCACAGTCAGAGCCTCCACCTACACTGCCCACACCCTGTGGCTGTCCTTCAGATGGGAGGGGCATGGCTGAGGATGTGGTGCTACTGAGACATCAAGTAGAAGTTTCCAAATTGCAGTCTTTCGTAAAGCGCTGTGGTATGAAAATTTCCAGTGAGATATAAAAGTAATTGTTCACTGTACGCTTTTGGGTTTATTGCTCAGCTTTGACAACAATCAGCTCATGGCTACTGGGGTTTCATCTATCCCTTTCCTTCACGCCCATCTGCTACCCCTTTTATTTTGAAACAAATACCAGCTATTGTATAATTTATACATATGTCTCTGTGAGATGCTCAGAATAGATAGAAACACACACATTTAGTAGTAGTATTATACCTAAATGGAGAATACAGTGGTTCCAAAATGTCATCAGTTGGGGTTCCTATTTCTCCAATTGTTTTAAGAAGTTTTGTATGTGTTTATATACATATGTGTGACTATACATTCATTTATTTTAATCTGGATATGGAAATGAGATACAAACATTGCAACTGGTTGATGTGTCTTTTAATTATACTTCAATTTATAGGTTCTCCGCTAATGCTTTCTATTTCTTTGCCATTTTTATGTCATTCTTATTGGTGTTAAATAAATTCAAGCATTTTCTCTTTAGTTCTCAGTAAGAATTTTGCCCATAACATCCCTGTGGTTTTATTCTGAACATCATTCCTTATATTTCTTATAAACTGGTTGTTTGATCTAGAGGGTTCAAAAAGATTCCAGTTCAATTTCTCGTTCCTTTTTTTTAAACATCTCTTTTAAATTTCACAGTGCACTTCTTTCTGGAGATGCATACTGTGTGGCTCCCTCTTTTATTCTGTGATGCTAGCAGCTATGGATAATCATTGCATGAATTAACATTAATTGGTTAAAATTTTCAAATCTTAATATTGTGATTCTATGGTTCTTTTGCATTTATTGGCTGGAATAGTTTTGTACAAAGAAATTTCACAACTATTTGGTTACTCTGAAGACCAGTTCATATAGAAAAGGCAGAAAAATATTTAATTATGTCCCTCAATCATTTTGAAACAAGATGGTGGTGCCTTAAATCTTCTGAAAGTGACCAATGAGGTACTTCTCTCAAGCATTATTACAAACTCATAAATTCAGTCACATGTGATTGATTCGTCAACTAAAGCTATTATGTTTCTTGATGGATAGATGCACAGATTGTCTTTTTATTAATGTACAAATGGTTCTTTTTTGGGGCATAGGGATTCTCTTCAGGTTGGCTCTTGAGATTTTTGATACAAACCCAGGGCTCCTTGATTGCTTTCTAATTTCTCTTGGTAATTTTTTCCAGGGTTGTTTCATATAAATTTTTTTGGCCCCAATCCTAAATTATTCATCTCTCCCCAAAACCTTGGTTTCTTTTTAGCTAGAAATGCTAGTTAGAGACCACAATCTAGTGGTAGGAATACCTGTTGCTTCTATATTGGCTATTATGTTTCTGCTTATTCATTGGACAGAGTAGGAAAGGATTTTTTTTAAAAAGTATTTTGTGAGTTCATACTGCTATTTCCATTTCACAATTAGAACACCTAGATTTTTACTTAATGTCATTGTTTTTATGTGTGTTTCTCCTTTCTCCCATGGAAATGATACTTGTCAAACTAGGGATGATTTTATTTCACAGGAATGTACAAAGGTATCACTCCAAAAATGCATTGTCGTAACCGAAGGTAGGGATACTGCTGACATCTAGTGTGCGCCAGGGATGCAAATTTCCAGTGAGATACGTAAGTAATTGATCTAGTGTGTGCCAGGGATGTTGTTAAACATACTACCACCCACAGGGCAGCCCCCACAACAAAGAATCATATGATCCTAACTCTCGCTAATGTTGTTGAGAAACCTGCAAGCATACTGAAGATAACTCCACAGCATTATAGAGGTATTCCTCCATTGTTAGACCTATCATAGTTAATGCTACTAGCCTTGTGTTGGTGTTAATGTCAGATGTTTTCAATTTTTGCTTTTAGAAAGAGTATATGGAGAGCAGCCTGTGGTCATGCTTTTTTCATAGTTTTGGTAGCATATTATTTGCATCTAAAAATTGGGATTATTTGGTTAGAGGATAAGTCCTTTTAAATTTTGTTAGTTATTTCAATGTTTTCCTTCTCCAAGGTTTTATCATTTTGGATTCCCCCGGCAATATATAAGAATGATCATCTCTCACAGCCTTGCCAAAAAGTAGGTGTTAAGATCTGAATTTTTTGCCAGCATGGTAGAAGAAAAGTGCTATTTTAGCCTAGTTTTCATATATTAAGAGCCATTTGCTTTTATTTTTCGTTGGCGCATTTATAAAAGACTATTCTTCTATGGTTAGATGGTCTTTTCCTTCTTCACTTCTGTTAATGTGGTGATACAGATTTTAAATATGTTTTTAATTTTGTTATGTGTTTTATGTTGGTCACAGTGATTTTTTGCTATGCTAAAGTGAATATCAATCTTTTCTTCGCAGGATGTTAAGTCATAGTTTAGAATATTGTCTGTACTTGTAGGTTATAACTAAACACATCCATCTTTTAAAAATAACATTTCTATATTTTCTCTTCTTTCATTTATATCTCTAGTCCATTTGGAACTTTCCTGGCATATTGTATGAGGAATCCTGGCATATTTTCTGAAGAATGAATCTAGTTTTATTTTTTCCCACATGGCTCTGCATTTTTCAATGCTGCTTTTTAAAAGCCTATCACTTTCTATTGATGTGAGGAGCCACTTTTATTCTATACTGAATTTACATAAGCAATTAGCATATTTTTGGATTTTCTATTCTAATACAGTGGTTTATCTGGTTTTAATTCATGCAATGGTAACAAAATGTTTACTTGTAGAGGTTTTATGATACCTTTGGAAAGGCTAAGCTATCTTTTTGTTCTTTTTCAAAGTTTTCCTGGCTAAGTTCTTCCTTACACACTTACAGTCAACTTGTATAGCTTGACAATATTTTTAATTAGACTAATGCTTGGTTAACTAAGGAAAAACTGATTTCTTTATAATATAGTCTTCCTCTCCAAGACACAGTTTGTCTTTTCTCACAAGTTCAGATCTACTGTACTGTTCTTTTTGGGGATATTTTAGTCTGCCTCAAGTATGTCTTGAATATTTTTTAAAGGATGTATTTATCCTAAGTAGAATATTCCTTTTCAATGTTTTTCATATTTTTTCATGATTTGGGCAATATATATAGGCTATTTTCTGTTAAATTGGTAATGTTAGTTTAGTAAATTTTTCTACCATTTGCAGTATTTTTCCAGTTGAGTTTTTCAGATAAACCACTATATTATATCCAAATAGAGATGCCATTCCCTTTCCTTTATAGTTCTTACTACACAGTGTGCTTTATCTTGCCTCCTTGCATTGTATAGTATTAAGAACACAGCACTGAGTAGCTGTGGACATAATAACGTTCTTATCTTTTCCCTGACTAATAAAGCCTCTAATGATTCCCACTGTATAATATACTAGCACTTAGCTGCATTGTAGGAAGCTATTTCATTTTTTGAAATAAATGTGGCCGGGCCATGGCTATCCTTATAAATAGTTACACTCTCACTCACTTTAGTACATGTGTACTTTTCTGAGTGAGAGAAAGGGATAGTACTGTCACCTCTGTGACAGAACAACTTGACCCTGGGAATAATTTTAATACTGAACAAACTTTGCCCTGTAGTTTGTGCTAGAAACAGGGTTGAAAAATGTACCCATAGAGACTCAGGTATTATTTTCAACTTCCATGTATGTGTAAGAACCATACTATGTTCTGTGAATATGCTTCTTTCCTTCGAAATGCCCAAATTAATGTAGTGAAGATGCTAGAACATTTGTGGTCACAGAGGCAGTTATATTAACGGGTGAAAAAGCCTTTCCGGCCAGCAGGCCTGCCCTGCCCTTCACAAAGTTTCAAAGTTGATGTGCTCTTGAAAAGCTTGCCTCTTTCTGCTTCCTTTGTCTTGAGCCTAATCTACAGTCAGAACAAGCGTTTCTCTGTAAAAGACTTCCTTCTCCTCATTTGCTTTTTATTTCCCACAGTTGGGGCCATTTGTGAGCTCCTGGACTAACAAACAAAGCGAAGTAACTCTCAAAGATGTTGTGTTCAAAATGGTAATTGAAATGCCTAAGGAAGTACAATGGAATCAAAGCAGGAGGAAACCCGAATATAGGAAGTCTCTTCAGAGCTGGTTTCAATCTGCCCACCACAAACACTTTGGGTTTTGCGAGCTCTTCTAAGTCTGGGTAGAAGCCAAGTCCTCCCTTACAAAGGCTCATGGTACAAAGTATCTACAGGGGCAGGTTGTAGGGTAAGAGCTCTGTCTTTTATTAGAACCAATTAAGTCTTAAATTACTGAAATTCTGTTCTGCCTCTGCAGGCATTTCAAAACCACATTGAAAACATCCTATAGCTGTGATAGGGAAAGGCCTGTTATATTCTCTCCAAGCTCAGAGCATACAGGTTTTTTTTTTAAGTTTTGTTTTTGAATGTGCAAGCGGAAAAATCATGTCAGTTTGTACTTGTTTTGCAGTATACAAATCAGTATGATATTAATTTCTT